GCGTTCTGGGACCCAAGCACAAGAGAACGCACGATGCCGTTTAATGATGACGATATTGTTACGGGGAAAAAGGTGGCGGAGAAATATGCTTACTATCTATTTAACAAGCAGACATAGAAGATGGAGCCCAGTCTGCACGAGAGCTCCGACATCGTCTTCTTCCTTATCGAGTTTCGAGTTATCCGTGGCGCCATCTAGGATCACCGCCCGGCGGCGAAGGCACCGTCCCGGTGCTCGGTTGGTCCGAGTGGTATCGCTTCAGCCGAGAGACGTGCACAAGGTCAGAATACGAGCGGGCGCTGGTGCTGTGAAACGTATCACTTTCATAGGTCGCGTCGGTAACTTGGCGCACGACGATGCCCCGCCGCGCTGGTCTATTGGCGAAGATACTCGGCTGCTGATCCGCAGGGCGCGGGTTCGAATCCCGGCTGCGGCGGCTGCATTTCCGATGGAGGCGGAAATGTTGTAGGCCCGTGTGCTCAGATTTGGGTGCACGTTAAAGAACCCCAGGTGGTCGAAATTTCCGGAGCTCTCCACTACGGCGTCTCTCATAATCATATAGTGGTTTTGGGACGTTAAACCCCACATATCAATCAATCAATCAACTTGGCGCACGACACGTTACGGGCTTAAGTATGGCGAAGTCAGCTTTTCGCACAGGCCAACTCGCCGTGATGGCTTGTCGAGAAGGACCGTGTCACCCCGCTGGGAGTTGACATCGCGGTGGCGGGGATTGTACAGCAGTCGTTGGTGGTCTTGCGAATCACTAAGATGCAGGCGAGCAATTTCACGTGCCTCTAGAATAGAGATAACAACTCGGGCGTAGTTTGATGTGTGGGTAACGGTAGGAAGGAGCGTGCCAAAAGGTAGCGTGGGTTCTCGTCCATACATGAGAAAAAAAAAGCGAGAAACCTGCAATATCATGCCGGGACGTATTATAGGCGAATGCCACAAATGGCAGGACCGCGTCCCAGTCACGATGGTCGGTGGAAACGTACATGGCGAGCATTTCTGTGACACTTCGATTCAGCCGTTCTGTGAACCCATTGGTTTGAGGGTGATAGGCTGTTGTGCACTTGTGTCTTGTAGAGCAATAATGCAATATGTCTTGTATAACCTGGGATAGGAAGTAGCGACCCCGATCGGTAAGTAGTTGTTGAGGGGCGCCGTGATGTATTAGGATGTCTTCTAGGAGAAAGTCGGCGACGTCGGTTGCACAACTGGCAAGGGCCCGCGTGATGGCATACCGAGTGGTGTAGTCTGTGGCGACTGCTATCCCCTTGTTCCCACTGGCCGATAAAGGGAAAGGTCTAAGTAGGTCAAGACCTACCCTATAAAATGGTTCCGATGGTATCTGAATGGGTGGTATCTGAATGGGTTGAAGGCGTCCTGCTGGAAGGGTTGTTGGCTTTTTGCAGTGTTGAAAGGATTTACAAGAAGCGATGCAGCGATGGACGGATCGGTACATACCAGGCCAAAAGAAGCGACGTCGAACATGGTCATAAGTTCTTGAGACTCCTAAGTGACCAGCCATTGGGATGGCACGTAAATGCGCGAGGACAGCCTGACGCATATGTTGGGGCATGACCAGTAGCAGCTCAGGTCCGTCAGGATGCATGCTGTAGCCGTCTCGGAGAAGGAACATACGGAGAGACGGAGGAGTTGTGGGACCAGTCAGCCCAAGGATGATCTCTCTCAAGTGAGGATCACGGCGTTGCTCATCTCCGATGTGGCCGAAGGCGGAAAGTACCAGCACGCAAGTAGACTCACCACTCTCAGGAACGTCCGGTGGGTCGACTGGATGACGCGACAAGCAGTCGGCATCTTCATGGCGGTGGCCCGATTTGTAAACGAATGTGTACGAATATTCTTGTAGCCGTATATAGCCCACCGGCCAAGACGTCCACTAGGATATTTTCAGGACGACAGCCAGCATAAGGCATGATGGTCAGTGACAACTGTGAATGGCCGTTCATACAAATATGGCCGAAATTTACCCACTGCCCAGACGAGCGCAAAGCATTCATGTTCATCATTCAGTAATTTTGTTCCGCTGGCGATAAGAGACAGCTAGCGTATGCAATGACGCACTCGCAGCCATGCTATCTTTGTGCCAAAACTGCTCTGATTCCATGGCCACTTGCGTCGGTGCGCACTTCGGTTGGGACGGACATATCAAAGAGGCCGAGAATCGGTGGCGTAGTGAGTCTGGCGGTCAGCTCAGCGAATGTCCTGGCTTGTCCAGGTCCCCATACAAAAGTCACATCTTTCTTCAGTAGCTCCGTGAGTGGGTGCGTGACGTGAGCGAAATTCCGCAAAAATCTGCGAAATTAGGAGCAGAGGCCCAGAAAGCTCCGAACTTCATACGCGGATGTCGGTAAAGGGGAATCTTTGACTGCGCGGATTTTCTCAGGGTCGGGACGAACACCAGAAGAATCAACAAGGTGACCGAGGACAGTGAGTTGGCGCTGACCGAAGTGACATTTGGACGAGTTCAACTGAAGCCCTGCCTTGCGGAAAGCAGAAAGAATAGTCGAGAGATGCTAGAGGTGTGTTTCAAAAGTCAGTGAGAAGACAATGACGTCATCTAGGTAACACAAGCAGATTGACCATTTAAAACTGTGAAGGAGAGCGTCCATCATTCGTTCGAATGTAGCTGGGGCATTGCATAACCCGAACGGCATTATACTTTAAACTGATAGAGTCCGTCGGGAGTTATGAATGCTGTCTTTTCACGGTCCATGTCATCGACTGCTATCTGCCAGTAGCCGGTATGGAGGTCGATGGAAGAAAAATAAATTGCTCCACTAAGGCAGTCAAGGGCGTCATCTTCGTGGCAAGAAATACACGTCTTTTTTCGTTACCTTGTTAAGATTCCGGTAGTCGACACAGAATTGCCAGCTGTTATGTTTCTTTTTGACGAGAACGACAGGTGAAGCCCAGGGGCTTGAAGAAGGCTCAATGATGTTCCGAGCAAGCATCTTGTCGACTTCTTTCTTAATCACGTGGTGTTCGGAGGAGGATATTCGATAGGGCCGCCGATGTACCGGATTTGCATCGCCGGTGTTAATCTGATGCTTTACGACGGTCGCTTAGCCTAGTGGTCGGTCATGGAGATCAAAGATGTCTACATACGACGCAAGGAGGCCACTAATTGCGTGCACATGCTGGCAGGGAGATCAGAAGCGATCATTTTCATTATGCCATCTCGGGTAGTGCCCAACTCAAGACTGGGAGGTGATGGTGTATCCTCTGTTAAAGCCACGGTGCAAGAATAATGGTTAAAGCGGAAATGTTGTAGTCGCCGGCCGAGGCAAGTGTTACTAGGCATATTCCCCGGGGCAGTACTTGCGCGCAAATTCCAAACTTCACAATAGGGAGACGTGCCAAGTTGTCCTTCAGGGTGATATTTGTGTGCGGGAACGTTACATTGAACGAAGAGGGGGCGGTAGAGTTAGGTGACACCACATAATCTCCATCGACCACAGGCGGATCGGAAGAGACGTCCATATACGTTCGACATAATAGGCGAATGTACTCGACGGAGCATAGCCTTGCCGGTGCAGGAGCAGGATGGTCAACGGCGTGTGGTAAAGCAAGTTGAACAACACCAGCAGAACAGTCAATTAGGGCGGAATGCTCCGACATTATGTGGGCAGTGGTCCAGGACGTAAAACAGAACAGAAGTATAACATCCAGCCACAGTGAAGCGGGCGGCACACATCCCAGTGACAGTTGACGTTGCTCCATCAGCTACTCAGACTACAGTGAAAGGAGCAGGCGTAAGCACTTTCTTTAGCCGAGCACGAAGACTAGAGTTCATTACAGATATGTGAGCGCCAGTGTCAATGAGTGCTATTGCAGGTGTGCCATCTACATTTACGTTGATCAAGTTCTTATGGCCGGGTAGCGTGCGCAGAGGAATTTCGGGTCGGGTCGTCAAGGCAGGCTCACATAAGAGTTGCGCCCACTATTTTTCCGAGGACTGGTGGTGGTAGGAGGGAGAGGGAGAGCGGCGACGGTTTGGTGAGCGGGACAGGCGTACGGATGGCGACGACGAGAGGTTTGGTCGAGCGGGAATGGGTAGCGAAGCATTGTCGTGGTCGACGTATATTGGCATGTGGGAACCATTCGGTGGGCGCCGGGTGTTGGCGTAGTGCGGTCATGGCTGTCAATTCCAGGAATTACGGCAATGACGTGAAATGTGGCCGACTCGTCCGCAGCAGAAGCAGATAGGTCTATCATCGGCCAATCAACCAAGTTCCGGTAACGTGGACGGTTGTACGGACCGCGGGGCATATCAGGTACACTATAGTTGGTCAGGTCTGTTAACTGGGCAGAGCGCCTGTAGTCCGGCGTTGGCCAGTTCCTGGCGGACAACGGTCTGTATTAAAGAAATTGTTGCACGAGAATCGTTAATGGCACGGGTATGATTAACAATAGGAGATGTGGCCTCGATTTCATGGCGGACGACGCGCTCAATATTGTCGGAAGTAGCAGCGGCTGCAGGGAGACGGGCGTCTTCGCAGGTAGACGTGGTAGACGTGGCAGCCGCGTTGAGAAGACGCGACAATTGGGGAATAATACGACGACTTCTCACTTCTTCAAAGCATCGGCATTCGTTAATGACGTCGTCCACTGTCGAAGAGTTGCGGAACACAAGGAGAGTGAAGGCATCATCCGCGATTCCTTTGAGGATGTGCGCGACCTTTTTCGGATTCCGGCATTTTGTCGTCAACCGTGCGGCAGAGGGCGAGCGCATCCTGAATGTATGTCACGTACGACTCGGTGCAGGACTGCAGTCGGCACGCGAGTACTTTCTGCGCCGAACGACGACGCCCAACGGGCTTGCCAAAGAGGTCGATGAGTTTGTGTTTGCAAATATCCCAACTCGTGATTTCTTCCTCATGGTTTGAAAACCAGACTTTGGCCACGCCCTCAAGGTAAAATACAATATTGGCCAACATGAGCGTCGCGTCCCAGTTGTATAGTGCACTCACCCGTTCGTATAGCTGAAGCCATTTTTTCTACATCCTTGTCGTCGTTGCCGGAAAAGGTTCCTGAGTCACGTGGAGTGGTCAGATCGACGGTGCGGTTCCTGACGGCTGGATGCGACGCTGTTGGACGCTGCGCGGTCTGACGAGGCACGCTTGGGGAAGGCACCGACGAATCCTCGTTCTCGTCGTGATCAGCCATCGTACAGAGGCAGCCAAGGAACGCCCGCTTCGTAGAATCGTCGTGGATGTTGATTTTGGGAGGACCCACACCCTCCACCAAAATGTTACGGGGTTGAAAGGCGTCGGATAAGTATGCTTACTATCGATTTAACAAGCAGGCATACAAGATGGAACCCAGTCTGCACGAGAGCTCCGACATCGTCTTCTTCCTTATCGAGTTTCGAGTTATCCGTGGCACAACGTAGCAATATATTTGAATCGCGAAGCATATTTTTACGCCGAGCCAGAACAGCTTCGCCGTTAGCAAACGCTTCGCTGCGAACATTTTTAACAGCTTCACTGTTAGTAATATCACAACAGTAAAGCTATTTCAAATGTTTCGCTGTCAGACTCCGAGTGCACTCCGAAATCTGTTTCTGCAACCGACGTTCGGGCTCTCATATCTGAATCGACGCAATTTGTGATTAATAAATGACAGCGAGAGTGATCGCGTCTTCGTGGCTTTCGGGCCATACAAGCGGACGGCAAACAATTCGACCACGCACGTCGCTAGTACAGGCAATAACCCACCTAATGTTTTAGAGAAAAAAAAAAGCTACACCCTTCAAAGAGTTCGGCTCACGTACAAGACGCGGAGAGTCTTGGGCCGGACGTCAAAAGTGATTGATCGAGCGCGGCACGCAGATCCGTACGTACAGGTCATCATCACGGAAGAAGACAATTTTTCGGGGCTAAGAACGGGCCATTTGTGACCCACTGCACCACTCGCTGAACGAGAGGAAACGCATTGCTCCATGGGAAACGTATAATCACACGCTGAAGCGGTCGCGTGTGTGTCTATACGGCGAAAACGCACTTATGCTACTAACGGCCCATGCTAATGCAAATTGTCACCGTGCGCCGCTAAAGTGACCCCTCCTTCTAAGACGATGCGAGGATCCTTGGAAAAGGAAGGGCCACCGAGGCCTCAGTTTTTCAGTCTCGTTGTTTTTTGTTTTTTTTTTTTGGTCAGCTCAAAAAAACATGTCCCGTGTTTCTATAGGGCGATACCTTTTTTAACGCCCGGCAGTTTGGCCGAACGCTGCAATTCACCGCCCTCGAAAAATACAGCTTTCCCGGCAAAACGACGGTATACAGAAGGCGGATATTACGCAGTGCCACTTTGGTCTTGAAGAGCCTGCCATGAATACAGCCGTTATGTCGGGTGCATTGCTGCTTGCTGCCCTGTGTGTGCGGCTGCTTCAGAGCGATGATCTACGGATTCTTCAGTACTACAGATTCAACTGTACAGCCTTGTACATTAGAATTGTTTTGTATTCCATATGAAATATTATTGCTCGGCGGGTCCAATTACGCAGGATGAAATGGTACATCGCGTGTGATCATGCATGCGTACTCATGCGTGTCATATGTGCTACGTCTATATTAAATAAAGGTCCACGAATGCTCTATGCATGTGCGACAAATATGTGTTTTCATGGAAACACGGATCCATGTTAAATGATTGTGTAGAGTGTCTAGTAGCAGAAGGCACGATGTTAAATGTTATGTCAACAAGCGCGTGAAAATCATCCCGAGTCAGTGAGCTTACTATCTGTGCACGAAAAGTGATTGATTGATTGATTGATTGATTGATTGATTGATTGATTGATTGATTGATTGATTGAGTGAGTGAGTGAGTGAGTGAGTGAGTGAGAAAGTGAGTGAGTGAGCGTACTCACAGGTAATGTGTGTTGAATCACATAATAACGATGTTATTCCAGCCATGTATGCTTGAGTCCTTGCGTACGAATCCCTTGATTGATACGTGGGGTTTAACGTCCCAAAACCACCATATGATTATGAGAGACGCCGCAGTGGAGGGCTGCGGAAATTTCGACCGCCTGGGGTTCTTTAATGTGCACCCAAATCTGAGCACACGGGCGTACAACATTTCCGCCTTCATCGGAAATGCAGCCGCCGTAGCCGGGATTCGATCCCGCGACCTGCGGGTCAGCAGCCGAGTGCCTTAGCCACTAGACCACCGCGGCGGGGCTGCGTATGAATCGTTAAAACGCCAATAGACAATCTCTTTAAATACCGTGAATGAGCGTATTATTCTTTGCTGGCGTTCGCGGTATTTTCGGCACAATTTGTGGCGCTATAGCACTCTGGTCACTTGACGTCTTGAGAAAATAAGCTCTCGATTCAGTAGGGTTGGCAGCTGGGCTAGTTGGTGAGATATCATTTTTACATATGGAGTATATAGTAGTGCAAATTCGACAAGAAAACACGACCTTCGCTACACTCGTAACTAATTTTATTTCAGAAGCAGCCCTTCATGTATAACCAAAATCTCTAGCGACACAGAAAAGAACTATACGAACATAGAATCATTGCCAAAAAAAAAACCGTTTTCAAGTGATAGAGTACACGATAGATAAGCTTAGACACAATAATATTTATTTATTTATTTATTTATTTATTTATTTATTATTTATTTATTTATTTATTTATTTATTTATTTATTTATTTATTATACCTCAAATGCCCCAGTACGGTATATACCTCATATGAACCAGTACGGCGTGCTACATGAGGGGTGGGCTGTGGTACAAAACTCTTTCGATGTGGGTTTTGAACAGAACTGGGCTTGTGTGCTGCACGACGTCCGGGGCGGAAGATCATTCCAATACTTTGCTGTTTGAACAAAGAACGAGCGAAGGTGGGCAGTTGTGCGGGTGCGCGCAGGATAAACAGTGCTGCGGTGGCTAGTACGAGAAGAGATTCTATCTGCGGGCAAAATACCGGATGCGTCAGACAATCAATAAAAAAAAAATTGTGAAAAGGGGTTAGTCTAGCGGCCTTGCGTCGCAATTCTAGATTCTGAAGTTGGGCTTGGTGTTGGACTTGAGTGATGTGAATATTAAGAGTAAATGAACCTTGCTGCCCTATTCTCGATAGATTCCAACATTTTAGATAGATTAGATTGGTGCGGGTCCCAGACGGCGCAAGCGTATTCGAGTTTCGGGCGTACTAATGTTAGGTAGGCTAAACGTTTTACAGGATGAGGGACAGGCGTAAGTTTCGTCTGAGGTAGCCAAGAACTTTATTTGCTTCGTTACGGATGTTTATTATGTGGGGTGCCCAATTAATCTATGAGAAAATCTGTCCAAAAATCTATGAGAAACCAATCGTAAAAAGAGGAAAGTTCGTTATTCATACTTTCAATATCGGCTTTGTTGTATATTATGTGTAACATAACACATAACTTATAGATGATATAACAAAGACAGCGCTGGGTTATATATGAAGTGCTGCTTCTGAAATGAAATTAGTTACGAATGTAGCGAGTGTCGTGTTTTCCTGTCACTCTGTGTCCCTGTCGAATTTGCGCTACTACACCATATGTTAAAATGAAGTTCTCGATTGGTCCATATGAGTTGGGAATTGTCTTCTATGAGCTATATGCCTGCGCCTTCTGCCTTGTCCCGCACGATTGTCGTGCGCGATAAAGTAATTTCACTTGGGTTTGCGCGTTTTCGACTGCGCAAGCCAGGATAACAGCGTGCAGCCGAAGAGTGCGGGATACTTTAGGTTCAACGCTTACGATTGTAGTTAATTGTCCACGCGTTTTATACAGAAATTAAGAGCAAGAAGGGCACAGTTGTGAAAGACGAGAAAGAAACCATTCTCTGTCTACGAACTCACGGGAGTTTAACTAAAACACTTGTTGTGAACCAGTGTGTATTCCGAATGCACTACGCCATAGAGCTGTAGAGAGAGTCAGGCGCTCTTTATTTAAAAAAAACAGATTTTTGCTGAAATGCATATGCCGTAGAGTTTCCTATAAATACACCTGAGCAAACTCTGGCGCTAGTGTCCATATGAGCGGCAACGCACAAAGATTCGGCGAGCGTAGAAGTGGTGGATATACTACGCAAATTTGTCTAATCTCTGTACTTTCGACTCCGTTTGGCTTCGCTTGGCTTGGAGTTGCTTCGTCACGAGACGACAACCAGCAAAGGTTTAGCAGTCTCGCTTCACCACCTTCACCTCTCGGGATGACCGATTCAATTTGAGTGACGAAGTTCACAATTATCCATTCTTTTATTTGATACAAAAAACCGAAACACAGCACTAAACAAAGCTACAAGTACGTTCGAATCCCGCAAGCAAGAAAACTACAGACAAATTTGTGTATTATACACATCCTTCCCAAGGTTGCTGAACGATAGCCGAGCCAGAGTTCCCTTTGGTTAATTTTAGAAACTCTATGCTATAAACCGCTTGCATAAACTATGTCTTTAGGGATTCAGTATGGGACGGTGAAAAATTCAAGAGTATAGAAGAAAATAATGAAAACAAGAGTATAAGCAAATATGACATCTGCAACTGAACTTAGTAGAAGTATTTATTAGGGTATCGTGTAAGTTAAGGATTTTCTACTAAACCAATCGAGAGAAAGATGATTTATAATTAAATGGCGATGACTGAACTATGCCCATATTGCTACACTAGTATACAAATTTGGAGGGAATCAGAGGATAAGACGGAAAGTATCTTCGAACAATGTCAGCTTCCACTGAGTACAAAAACGGATGCATAATTCACCCATATGAGCAAGCAAGAGGACGTCACAAATGGGACGTCTGTAACTAAAAACCACGTTGAAGGACACCGACATAACATATACTATTGGAGCATGCTGTAACGTGCTTTCTTAAGGTTGTAATATTTTATCCATTAGAACAGAGATTCCTGAAAGAAATGTTCACTATACTATACTACTAACCATGACCATTTCGCTGTACTTGTACTTTCACAGACAACTAGGGAGCATTTTCTTCGCAGATTCTCCAATAAGTTATGACAAAAAATTGGCGAAAAATGTTTATATGAAGTTTAGCGGCACTCAACTTCCTGATTATAAGTAGCATTTTATGGCGCAAGGGCCATGAATCGCCAAATAACGCCATGTCTCTTAGGCGAGGATCAATGTTTGAAATGACATATGGCTATAAAGAGGCACAAAAATCA